ACCAACCAAATCACCCACTGTTCTGAAGCAATGAAGCTCAATTCCTTTATTTAAGTTGAAGAAGAATTTAGGATTTAAGGAACAGAAAGCATTTATAATGTTCTAAAGTTTAAAGATAATAATCTAATTGAGCGTGCCATCCATTTCATAAAGCAACCAAGCTTGAAAATAACAGGACTTTAAAGATTTGGTGCTGACAGTAATGTCAGATCCCACAGTAAACTTTCAGTGGTCAATTGGTTTCAATGGTTTTGTTGCAAGATATTCCATCCATCAATTTCCACCACTTATCCAAGGTTGGGCTATAATGGTAATGGTCCAGGAAGGAAACCCAGATATCATTCAGCCTGGTGACACTCTCCAGTACTGTCTGAGGGATTCTAGGGTGTTCCCAGGTCAGACAGAATATATAATCCCTCCAGTAATTACTGGATTTCCCTAAATCTCTTCCCAGTGGGAAGTGTCAAGAAAATGTCCAGAAGGCAACCAGAAGGCATTTTTAAAAGATATCCACCACACCCCCTCATATTCTGAGCTCCCCACTTCATTTCTAAGGTCCTGCTACTGAGGAAGTTTATTTTGTTTGCTTGTTTCCAGGATTCAGATTTTTCTGTCATCATCCAAACTTCATGACCATAGGACAGGGTTTGAATGGAGACCACCAGCAAATCAAGAGCTTTGTCTTTCAGCTTAACTTCTCCTTCCCCAAGACAAACCATAGCTTCCTGTTAGGGCTGGACGATATGGACGAAAACTTATATCTTTATCTTTTTGCTGAATTTCGATACACAATATATATCTCAATATTTTTCCTCCTGTAAAATATTTACAAGTAAACTCACTTCAAGCTGTCTTGAGAAATTATATTCATAAAATGGTAGATTAAATGCATGAAAATGTATTGATTCTTGTCAAACTTTAACCTTAGTGCCTATTCTATGGTACAGATGTCTGTTAACACCCACACACACACAGTTAGATGTTTATTAAATGTCCCACAGGCACTTTTAATTATATATTTATAATTAATGTAAAATTATTGAAATTTCATCTAGAGGTGGGCCATATTGAATACTTCTTGTCCAGAGAAAAAAAAATCTATCATGTTAAGCTAAATGTATGATGATGCAATTGCATCTACTGAAGATCACATGGGTCATGCACCATGGAGTTATTAGTGTCGCCGTAACCCACGTCTTACAAACTCAACTTCTTCCATAGAATCGCTCGTAACAGAGTATTTACTAGCATTGCAAACAAGAGCAGAAAAAAATGGAACCGGAACTGGAACATTTCTCACCCGTTGAGCTCGCTTTCAAAATAAAACGTTAACCCTATAGTTTACTATTCTAACCCTTACACGTTTGAGGTCATTTGGCCACTCCGGCTATCCGTAGATGTTTCCCATTACACAGGGGAGGGAGGGGTTGGGCTCGTCTCTCCAGCTCTGCACAAGCAGAACGGATAAACAGAAGTTAGTTGGCATTAAACGTCCCCAAATAATTAAAAACCAGGACGCCAAATGCAAAATTTAGAGCAGCACATTCACCCAGAGGCTCTCAGACTGAGCAAACTTGTGAGAATACATGTAATAGCCACTTAGAGACAGAGCAACATGCCACTAGCATAGCGGCTAATCACTAGCGTAGCAGTTTGACCAGTTATATTGATATAAAGATATAAAGTAATCTTGTATCTTGTTCAAAAATTATATTGATATTTTAAAAATATCGATATATCCCCCAGCCCTACTTCCTGTTAATGACTGCATTGTGTTCAGATCACTTCACACTACCTTTGCATCAAGTACAGATAATCTCACGCTACTGTAATTAAAAACCATCATAAATGTGTTGAGTGTAGGAGTTGAGTCATGCCAAATACACTCGTGGAAAAAGGTGATTAGAAGATTCTCATCCTATAAGACTTTGACATACTGAAAAATAAACAATGCAGGGCAATTGCATTCTGACTATTAGGGCTGGGCGATATGGACGAAAACTTATATCTCGATATTTTTTAGCTGAATTTCGATACACGATATATATCTCAATATTTTTCCTCCTGTAAAACATTTACAAGTTAACTCACTTCAAGCCGTTTTGAGAAATTATATTCATAAATCAGTAGATTAAATGCATGAAAATGTATTGATTCTTGTCAAACTTTAACCTTAGTGCCTATTCTCTGCCAGTTTGAGCTTTAGAAATACTGGTACAGCTGTCTGCTAACACACACACACACACACACACACACACACACACACACACACAAACACACACACACACACATACACACACACTTGAGAGCTAGAGGTTTATCAAATGTCCCACAGGCACTTTTTAATTATATTTTATAATTAATGTAAAATTATTTAAATTTCATCTAGAGGTGGCCCATTTCGTATATTGCATCTATCATGTTAAGCTAAATTTATGATGATGTAATTGCATCTACTGAAGATCACATGGGTCATGCACCATGGAGTTATTAGTTATTAGGGGAAACGTTGCTAGAATATAACAGTATTGACTCATATAAGCAAGTATACTGTAGAGTCTCTGGTTGCTCTCTTATGAGGATTATTTTCGGGCTACTGTCGCCGAAACCCAAGCCTCACAAACTTAACTTTTTCAACAGAATCACTCGTAACGGAGTATTTACTAGCATAGCTAACCAGAGCGCAAAAAAACAGAACAACATCTCTCACCCGTTGAGCTCGCCTTCAAAATAAAACGTTAACCCTAGAGTTTACTATTCAAACCCTTACAATACGTTTGAGGTCACTCCGGCTATCCATAGATGTTTCCCGATTACACAGGGGAGGGAGGGGTTTGGCTCGTCTCTGCATGAGCAGGATGGAAAAACAGAACTTAAGTTGGCATTAAACGTCCCCAAATAATTAAAAACCAGGATGACAAATGCAAAGTTTAGAGCAGCACATTTACCCAGAGGCTCTCAGATTGAGCAAACTTGTGAGAATAAACGTAATAACCACTTAGAGTCGGAGCAACATGTCACTAGCATAGAGGCTAATTGTTAGCATAGCGGCTAGTCGCTAGCATAGTAGTTTGACCAGTTATGTTGATATAAAGATATATAGGCATGAAAACAGGTCAGGGGGGAAAAAGGTGAGCGTAATACCTTGAGTAAAAGTGTGAGTGTGGGTTGGGGGGGGGGGGGGATTGGTTTGGGCCCTTAGATTTGACATAACTTTTCCCTACCATATGGCACCCATGTCTGTTAAAGTAACAATCTCAATTTAGTATACCTTTAATTACACAGTGTGAACATATAGTACCTTTAAAAGTCAAATGTGGAACACACTCTGGTGACATCTAGTGATTAAAGGTGGTAGCTGCAACAACCGAAAACATTTTCCAGCTGTCAGGGTGTTGCTTCTTTGCTGACACAGTAAGTGACCGGCCAGCACCATAGCCAGTGACAAACTGTACAGGGAATTAGCTCCTCAGCCTTCATCAGTTTGTGCAAATTGGGGAAATCCTTGGGGAAATGCGCATGTGCAGACTGATTACTACGTCACAGGCTGTTCACCTGAAAGTTGTTATATTACAACTTGTTTTATGTTTACATGACAGTTAGCTTGTAAATGGCTTGTAGAATATCGTTATTATACTGTAAACAAGAAATTTCTCCCATTGTTTACAGTCATTCATGGAATTATGACAAATGGTCTTTCATAAATAAATCACGATAAACACTGTACATTTATACTACAGTTCTGTATTTATTGAGAAATATCACCTATTTAAAATAAACCGTGCTTTAAAAGAGTGTTACTCGACTATAAACAAGAGCAAAACTGTCGTAACACGCTGCGGTAGGATGTCGACGAGGAAGCACAGATAGTCAGAACACCGGTTCCAACCGAGCTACCGCCAGCCGCGGACCAAATCACAGAAAGAAAACCAACATAGTGTAACGAAAAGTCAGTGTTAATCAACCTTACCTTTAGCCAAGACTCGAACTTCTCAGCATCCATCCGACCAAGCCCAAATCAAATCGCCGAGCAAAAGATATATTCCGTTGTAACTGTCCTTGGGTCAGCTCACTCACGCTCTGATCAGCACAAACCAATCAGGTAGCAGTATTCCGAAAATCATGTATAGCAGATATGCTACGTTTACAATGCTCGTTGTAAGCTAACCGGCTTGTTCTATTATTTTGAAATCAGGTAAACTTCCGGTCACGCGTCACTGGTTCCAGCGGATTATTTTTATTATTCATTACAGTTTCTAGTGTAGGGTCTCAGGAATGGTACCTGTCAGGAGGATTAAAAGTCCACTGCAATATTTCACAGATTAGTTAAACAGAGCCCTCTGCCCCTTGACGCCCCCCCAAATATTTTCTCATCAGATCTACATGAATCAAGCAGGTGACCTATTTTGGATTCAAAACGGCAAATTTCGCCGAAAGGTGAGGGATTTTCATGTCTGGATATAAAGTCACCTTGTATCTTGTTTAAAAATTATAGATATTTTAAAAATATCGATATATCGCCCAGCCTTACCAACTATGATCTTGTTTTGATGCTCAAATGTCAATTTTGTATAAATTCTAAGCACAGAAAATATCCTAAACACATTTTTATGGTGCAAAACTTTAATTAATGTTTTCAGAAAATGGATAACCAGTATTAAGTACCTAGAAAAGACAAATCCTTAAACATCAGAAAAACTGAACCCATGAAAAGGAAAGAGTGTGAACGTGGAGGTGTGTGGGGGTGGGGTGGGGGTGGAGGCTAGCGCGCTCCGTCCCGCAGCTCTCCTCTGTGAGTGCGGGGGTTGCACACGTTCCGCTGCTGTTTCTCACCAGTATCAGCTAATGGAGGGCTCTAGTTTTGTTGCGCCGTTCGTGTAGACACGGTAGGGTCGGGGAGGGGGGTGGGGCATGATGCGTAGCCTGGCGGGCCGCCAGGCTTATAAAGTGCTGGGGGAAACCCTGCACACCGAAACAAAACAAAACACAGAACAACTCACCATGATATAATGACGCTGCATCTCTGACTTCTCACTTGCTAGCTTGTCACATTCAAGCTTCAAACTGAGGAGAGAAACAGAAGACGAACAAAGTCAGAAACTCTTTTTCACGCAGACACTCTTCTAAAGTGCTGACACGAAATAACTTTTTTTAACCCCCTTTATCATCATTACCTCAACTTTCACCAGCGCACAGTCATTACCTCCATCATCTCTAAAACCTCCTCATCCATCTTCATCATTACCAGCCCATCATCATCTCCATCACCGCTACAATCTATATCATCGTTGTCACCTCTATTATCACCACCACCCATATCTTCACCTTTAGAAGGTGGTGACGGCATTTGACAGCTGCTGATTGACAGGAGAGTTTTGAACTGGTTCTGGTTTAGATTAGATGAACTTGCTCTGAACTCCAGAATCTATAAAATCTGTTTTCTTGTTCAGAGAAGCTGCAGCAAAGCAGAAAAGTCTCAATGCACTGCTACAGCATTCCCCGAAACCTTACGACAGCCATTAACCGTAATCATGTCAGAGCTGATGTCACGCAAGGCGACATGTCAAAGGAGAACACGTCAACAAGTCTGCCTACGTGTCAAATAAAATGACAAAATCAGCCTGTCTGCAAGTTTGACTTAAAAACCCGGTTAGTACCTGATTCAGAAAGCATAATTTATTCTGAGAACTCGGTGTGGTTTAATAAAATATACTCAGACATATGGCGGAAAGGTTTAGATTCCAGATAAGTCTGTTGCCTGTTTGATGGTGTGTATATTTACGCTGGGATATTCTCCTCAGCTGTCTGCAGGAATGACAGCTCGATTATAGCGACTGCTGGCAGAGTCTTCATCATGGTTAGTCTTAACTGGCAGTCAGAAAACACACACATTCATTGGTGTGTGAACATCCGTACACACACTGTTGGTAGGGATTCTTAAAAAACAATTATCACACCAGATGCTGTCATTTTAGACTTGGCTGAGTGTTCATTGTTGTGAGTTGAAGCTTTTTACTATGAGAGAAAAGATTTCACTGAAATGGAATCGTCTTAGTTAAAATCAAATGGAAATGTACCTTAACTGACATTTTATCTATTTAAAAAACAAACACTTTTTTCATTTATACCACAGGTTTTACAGGACAATTCACCAGGTTACGAGTGGTTTGTTGTAAAATTTGGTAAATACATAAAATATCAATAATACTTCTTTTACGATACTCCTCATTTTTATTTAAAATGATGTTTTTAGAATGTATAAAAAATAAACAAGCTCCCTTTTAAAATACAAAAGATGAAGAAAATGTTCACCTCTTTAACACTACATCAAAATACAGAGACAATATTGTTTATCTCAAATCAAAATTCTATATATATATATATATATATATATATATATATATATATATATATATATATTTAAATACAATGTTTTCCTCCTTCATAAGCCTTTACAAGAGCATGATCAAAGACAACTGATGACCGTTCTAGATCAAATGACACACACGTAGAAAAAGTCTGTAAAAATAGCTCTGGTGTTGTTCTTTCTGGGGCACAAGCGGGCAAGTTTGAAATGTATGCAAAAAACGCTGGATTTTTACAGATGGGACCGTAAACCTGAAATATATGTAGTAAGGATGTAAGATAATATCACTTCACTAAAATATCACAAAGAAGAGACTGCTGCATATCAATAACGTTCTGCTGTCAATTATAATACTGAGGTAACCATGCATCTCTGTGCAGGACTGGAAAGTACTTATCTCCTGTCCTCCACTCCATAAACTGAGACAACCTACATACTGAGCCTACTTTTCTAAATCAGCACTACATCACAGGTGTATTTCTAAGATTTGGTGTATTACTAACAGTTCTGAAGGAATTCAATTCAAAAATACTTTATTAATCCCAGAGGGAAATTGATTGCTGTAGTAGCTCAGAATAATAATAATCAAGTCATCAAAGAGTTATTGTATATTACAATGGCTGTTGGCAGGAAGGATCTCCAGTAGCAGTCAGTGTTGCAGCGAAACTGAAGAAGCCTCTGACTGAAGACACTCTTCCGTTGTCGGACAGTCTAGTGAGGAGAATGCTCAGGGTTGTCCATAATTTTCTTGATTCTCTGGAGAATCCTTCTTTGCATTATCTCCTCCAGTGGTTCCACAGTCGTCCCCAGAACAGAACCAGCCTTTTATATTAGGCTGCTGAGCCTTTTCAGGTCCCTGCTTCTGATGCTACTACCCCAACAGACGATGGCTGAAGAGATTACACTCAACAACAGACTTGTAGAAGATCTGCTGCATCTTGCTACAGACACTGAAGGACCTAAGCGTCCTCAAGAAAAGCAGTCCACTGTGTCCTTTCTGGCAGTGCTGTGCAGTTATGTTTAGGCCAGTCAGACCTATGAGACCTATGGCACACGAGCCATGTCAAGGTTAAACCTAGCTATGCTCAATAAGGAAAAACCTCACAAAAGTGAGGCTTAGATTGTCATAAGCCCCGAGGAAGAGCTAATGTGCTTGAAATTTGACCAAGTGCAAATAAATATGCAATTGGCTAGGTTTATATAACTTGCTATGTGTTTTAGTTGCATTTTTCTCCTGGTGTGACGGTGGCAGAGGCGTTAAGTGCCCGCCCCATGAATGGAGGGTTGCGGGTGTGAGCCCCACTCAGTCTGCCACAGTCATGCCTGCTGGTGGTGGTGGGTGGGATCAGTGCCACCAGTGTACGGCTGCCTTGCTTCTGTCAGGGTGCCCCAGGACTGCTGTGGCTACATTGTAGCTCAATACTACCAGTGCATGAATGGGTGAATGACTGGTTTTGTTGTGAAGTTCCTTGGAACCCAAGAAGGTGCTTTATAAATACAGGCCATTTACCATTTTACATGTTTACCTATGATAGTTAGCTGAAGTGCTTTTCTCCAGTGTCTGAGCTCAATTGACCCAAAAAAATAAACAAAAAACGTTGTCAGCTTTCTCAGTTTTGCATTTTCTTTTGTTGACTGTGGAGTTATCGAAGCAAAGTCAAATCCTAAGTAATAGGGTAGCAGAAGAGAGACTGATTACTACGTGGAAAATAGGATTTTCAGCTATATCCCCTTCCACAACTGTATTTTGTAGAATCACTGTGCTTTTGGCTTGATGATGTGAAAGATTATAGTGATCACATTTGGAACAACAAAAAAATACATCGGCAATGTCAACGCAACTGAGTGCTCATCCTTACTAGTAGCCTGGCAAGCAATCCTATATTTGTAAATGTATGGTCTGGCCACGACCCAGAGGGTAAGTTCAGTTGAGAGAGTTGCCTTTCAAACTGCCTCTGCATGCTATTGGACAAGGAACAATGTGATGTACTCACTGCTACGGATGTCAGTCAACAGGGCAGTCCGCCATACACCGTCTAAAAAGACGTCAATATATCCTTTTTCTAAATAAAGGACTTATAAGTACCTCTATCTGCTTTTGATTCAATAAAAGCCCAAGTCTAAAATAGTCCAAAGTTGATGCCAAAGCCGATTCAAACGAGCCATGTGTCTCAGATGTTCCACTCCGTTGCATCATCCCGATCACCAAATCGATAGAGTGCTCTCATTGGCCCTCAAGACCGATATAGCTGTGATTAGCTCATCAAATCAGTAGATCGCTGTGATTGGCCCACCAAAACGGTAGGTCGTTGTGATTGGCTCACAAAAAATGGTAAAGCACTGCGATTGGCTCACCAAAATGGTACATCGCTGTGATTGGCCCACCAAATCAATTGAGCGCTTTGATTGGCCCACCACCAGACAGGTCAGGAATGTGGAGGTTTCAAAAGAGCATGGCTAGATGTGCAGAGCAAAAGTATTTTGCTTCTTCTACTGTCTATATTTCTTGACTACCAAACTGAGGGAAAAATACAAAAACCCTCTCAAAAAGTAAAGTTCAAGGGGAGATTTCACTAAGTATTTAGTGAACATAAAATAAAGGATATCAGGAAAAAAGAATGAGCTTTTAAGAATGGATGAGCTGATGAGACAGCACAACCTTATTTGTCATGCCATCAAAACTGCTGAAAACAAATACCTCACATTTTATTAAGACTTTCAATCACAACACATTTAATGAACCATCTCTTAAGGAGAATGTAAAAGCTAAAACCGATCAATTCTATAAAAAATGTAGTCCTACCTAACACTTACAGGGGATGAAATTTACTTTTTACTGCAATGGGAGGTCCTATTCTACTGTACTGCCTAATCCAGTATGCGAATGAGCAGTGTCCACTTACCTAAAACCCTTCCTTTGACTCCTACTTAAAAACCTCTACTATCCCTGTGTATACGAGTAGACTATATAACAAGTTGTCATGACGACAGGCGTCCTCACTGGCAGCCTAACGTGGATTGGCTCCATGCCTCCGCTGATTGCTGCTCAGCAGCCCCGGGGTCTGCACCGCTGTTCTCAAACGACACTTTGATGGAGTTTTATTGCTGTTCCTTCCGTCTCTAAATCGCTCCTGCTGTCATCTTTATTTTGATTTATGTATTCCCTGATCTATTTATGCACGTGAAATAGGGGAGGGGAGAAGAGGTGGTAGAAATGGAGAGTGAGTTGGGAGGGGAGGGGGCGTGAAGAGGAAGACAACGACAGCTACAACGCTACACCCAGGGGAACGCCTGCAGAACATTTGCCTTTTAAAGTCTTCAGCAACAGACAAGCTAAGCGTAGCAGCAGAGCGCTACAAAGCCTCGTTTGTGGCACCCTAGACCCGCGCCCCATCCCTCCTCCTGAGTCAATAGGCACTGTGTGCATGTTCTGTATGCTCAGACAAAAGAGGTTTTCTTTTAACTGCGCCCTCAGTCTCTGAAGAGGGTTAAACGGCACTGCTCACTGTTGTGGGAATAACAAAACCAAAGGCGAGGGGGAAGAAAAAAGATTGAAGGGCATTATTGCAGCATCAGAATCCTCCATACAAGAGTGATCAGACCACAGCAGGGATTTTACACACAGTATGTTCAGCTTTCATGTGTCTTTCACTGTCTCTGCAACTAGCAAAGGCAAATCTCTGTAAGGTTCTGGGAG